GGCTGGCCTTGGCTGGCTGGCCGTGGCTATGGCTGGCTGGCCGTGGCTGGCTGGCCACAGCTGCCTTGGCTGGCTGGCCGTGGCAATGGCCACCATGTACTGGTTACAAGTAATATATGTACAGTTCCAAGTAATATATAACAACGTTCCAAGTAATATATAACAAGAATTGATTCATACACAATTACAAGTAATATATAACGGCAAGAATTTAGCAACGAGTTCATCTCATAAAACCATGTTTGTAGCATAAACAAGTTCATCTCAGAAGACCATAATGTAGTTCCAAACGAAATCAATGTCATATGAAATAAATCATGAGGTTACATCTCATCACAACTAAAATGCTCCATCATCAAATGTTTAGCTTTCTTCTTTTTGGAGTCATCTTTTTTGGTGGCACCGGTAGGCATCCTCACGGGCTAGCGTTGTCGATTTGTGAAGATGTGCCCTCTCCAAGTAACATCGCTAGCTTTGTCGCACATAAATACGATCGGCAATTAGATGTATATATAAAACAATGGGAGCAGTAGGCGTGAGCTCTTGCTACTGACTAGAGCATCGTCGCTGTGGTTCTCCATTGGGTCGTGGAAGGGCATCGGCTACACGGCCCGCCGTGCTTCTGCCCTCCAGGCCAGCGTCCGGTTGTGTGCACCAAATGCCTTGCCTTGCCGAGCGGTGTGAGAAAGCGCCTAGGGCTAGGGCAGGGCAAGAGGCCCGACGTTGCCTCGACGTCCATGGCAACCGCCCCAGCGTGGACATCTTCGGCTGGAGGCTCTTCCTCCATGGAGGGCAGATCGTCGGCGTGGGGGAGGGAGAGGGCCGGCGGTCTTCACGGCGAAGTGGTGGGCGCTGGTGTTCTCACGCAGGAAGGAGGAGCGTCGGTGTTCTCGCGACTGCGCGTATACGGAGTAGATGAAACGACGGAATCTAGAATAGATGAATCGATACATTGCTAGCCAATTTCTCTTGCTATAGGGTAATAGGGTCAATACAAAAATACATGTATTTTTAGATGACAAAAGAGATTAAAAAAGAAATAAAATATCATTATAGCTTATTGTAATTGTTTGGAGTCATATTTTGGAGAAACAAACGTTAGGTGTCCTATTATAGAGAAACCCAAGTTTGAAGTTGTATAATAGCCAATTTCTCCGTACGTCGGATGCCTCGGCGTTGCCTGCGCTGCCGCGGCCTCCACCACCTCGCCAGGGACTGCAGGCTGCCCAGGGATGCTGCAAGGTCCACCGCGAAGGGGGACGTACGGACACGGTGGTGTGCTGGTAGAGGCTCCCAGAAAGTCTCCCAGCACGCGCCTCGCGGCACTACGACGGCGGACGCTGATGGGCCTCGGCTACGGCATTGGAAGCGCTAAAACTCTCCGGAAGAGGTCGTCCACCTGGACGCGACGACCGACCCCAGTTCCACTGACGACCGCGTCCTCCGATCGGCTGGTCCGGTGCCTCAGGTCGTCGCTCTACCCAGCTCCAGCGCTGGAGGTGAGATGGCTTCGGGCGTGGCCAGGCCAGGTGCGGATGGGCGCCGCGGCGGGGGGCGACGTCGACGACGACTCCGCCACCGACGACGGAGGCGCAACGGTCGCTTGCCCGCGGCCGACCAGGCGGCGCCGGATGGCTCTTCCGCTCCTGCCGTCCAGGTGGGGCATGGTGCGCCTACCGGCGCGTCGGACATCGCTGAGTTGGATCTGCCGTCGCTGCCCACGCGTATGGATGCCACGGAGGAACGCGACTTCGCGGACGACCCGATGCTGGAGGAGCTCGCTGCTTCGCTCAACAGTAGCCGAGCCGCCCTCTCGTCTCCGCTGGTCGTACAGCCGGAGGGTGGGGCTTCACCGGTTGGCATGCTGGCCGTGTCCCAGCAGCTGCAGGCATCACCCTCGCGGCCCGGTTCGCCGACGGAGCTAGCTCGAGGGGGGCAGTCGGTCACGCCAAGGCGACTGGCGTTTGACGACTCCTCGGACATCGACGTGGACACGGTGCGCGAAGGGGGCTACCAAGCGCCGCCGTCGGGAGGACGGCAAGACGTTGTGGTTGCGGAGGCGGCCGTGGATTCCGTCGCCACCCCCACAGGCGTCGTTGCAGCCGCCTCTCCACGGTCAACCGACTCCCTCGGCATGAAGCTGAAGCGGTTCAGGGACAAGGTTCTGCGCAAGGTACCGTCACCACTACTGCCCCAGCCGTGCGTGGAGCCGACGCCTGTGCAGCCACCGTTGCCGCACCGTAGCAGGAGGATTGCCGCACAGCCTCTCTCTCGCATTTCAGTCTCCAAGCGGGGAGAGGTGCTGGTGATGCAGCGGATGGGGTTCATCGCCGAACGGACGAGACCCTCCACGGCGGCTAAGGAGGCCTACGACAACGTCTTACACCATGAGGACGCCGACCCCTCACACAGAGAGGCACTACGAATGCTCATGCTGGGAGACGGCCCGAGGCGATCGCGTCGCCGCTCGAACCGCGCAAGCCCCCGCATCTGAACGACGGTGTTGGCTAGGTAGTTTATTAGAGAGTAATAGCTATTGATTGCCTTCCGCTAGGGTGGACGGAACCGATTGTATAACTCTTTTCCCCCTAGTGCGTCACCAGTGGTGTGTCGTTGTAATCCGTACTGTTTTCTTCTTAATGACAAAGACACCCAAATCTTTTGCGTGTTCGAGAAAAAAAAAACATGTATTGGGGGCGAATTATTATTGCCACCAGGTCAGGTGGACCAACTTTATTTACATCCCATGAAAAGATAACTTCAGTTATGTTCTTCGATCAATCCTCATCACCCAGGCCTTACTATCTTGATGTGTTCTTTCTTTCTATGGATGGGAAAAAAAATTCAGAGAGCAAAAGCACCAGATATATATGGGACTACAGAACAGTCAGCAGCAAGCATTGGGCACGCAGTGGCATCACATCTCCAAATTGAAGTAGTGGCAATTCTCTAATCACGCATCTTGATCCTTTTTTTTTTCCTACCTACCAGATGAAAGGCTGCCTGTTTGTGCATGCCCTCACCTTCAGTATCATGCACATTTATACACACACACATTCTTCCAAACAGACAGACATTTGTGGAAAAATATATATATGATGCGCGGTGTAGTAAGACAGTGATGCGAGAACGGCAATCCACCCTTTTCCTTTTCCAATTCCACGAGCAAAATTTTCAGGTGCGGCCGGATCGGAGCAGATTTTCCGCACAAGTCCTTTTACGCAGCAGAATCCAACTGATCAAAAAGAAAAGCAGGTGGCTGATCCATCGATCTCCATGCACGCGTGCGTGCAGCGGATCAGGAATTCAGGATCATCGCATCGCATCGGCGGATCAGGACCGTACTCTCGCGACACAAGATCAGCATGCGGAAACGATGATGATCCGGGTAATCATATCATACGCTATGGCTAATACTAGTACAGATTACAGAAGTAGGGTGTAGGGTTCACATGGCCGGAGCCGGATCGGAGTGGCCGCCGCCGGCGTGCGACCAATGGAGCGCTAGCTGCGTCCCGGCCTGCATCTGCATGCATGTTCTGAAAGGTTAATGGAGGTCGCCGTCAGCTCGATCGTGGAGAATGTGCAGTGTTCGCGGCGGCGCGATCGTGGGGTTTTAGATTTGTGCTGATCTAGGGAGGGGCCGGGACGCCATTGCCCTGCACTGCACTGCATGCCAAAGTGGAGATGCAATGCACTGCAAGTGCGTGGAAGGACCGGGGGTACGTATTCATATACTCGTGTATCGTGTGCTTCCTTCTCGCCCGGTCCGCTATACACGTGTGTCCGGCCTCTCCCATCTTTATTCCTTGGTTTTTTTCATTCTTTCTCCATGTTAACCTAATATTTCGCTTTTGTATACTATTGACAAGTCTTAATGAAACAAGTTATGTATAAAATTTATGCTGAATAAAGCCTTGTTTGGGTGTTGTAGTATGAAGAAACCATGGTACCATATTATCATGCAAAACCGTGTTTTAGAAAAAATAGGTATAGAGTGGAGTTTTAAAACTCCAAAAAGACTACAGGTTTCAGCAATACCATGTTATTCAAAACCATAAAGTTTATTACACCTAAACACTTCATATCACTATAAAAACCAAAGTATTTCACGAAACCATGTTATTTTTTAAAAACTCTAAAAATATTTTGTATCCAAACAATAGTTCTAAATTATAATTTTTTGACTTTTTTACTGAAAGTTTGACTATTCGTCTTATTCTAAAAAAATTATGTGCAAATATACGCAAATTTAAGTCATATTTGAAGAACTTTTATTAATAAAGCAAGTCACAAAAAAAATATTTTACTCAAAATTTTGAATACAAGGAATGGTCAAAGGTTTGGTCAAAAGTGAAATGAATTATAATTTATAAATGAAGGAGTAGCTTTTTTTTAAAATGTTAAACAGTTAATTAAATGTTTTTAAGTTATTTGTTGAACTTAGTTATGTACAAGCAGTGCTAAAAACTTTATTTAGAAATTGTTACAATAAATTTATTCAGTAATAACTGTGAGATATAATATGAGTCGAAGAGGTCACCAAGATTTCTGTCGGGTACCTTGTTGCTCATGATTATAACATTATGCATAATATTGATCATAATTGTAACATTATGGTGCAATAACATTATGCGCGCAATATTGATCATCACTGTAACATTATGAGCAATATATAATGTTCTTTGTTCATCTTTGTCCATAGGATATATGCATCTATCCTTCCTTGCTTGAGCATGTAAATTTTTCATCTTTACAAGTTGAATACATATCTCAACCTGAAGCGGGTTGTATATATGGTTACATATATCACCCGCCCTTGTACGCTCGCGAAAAAAAAAAAATATATCGCCCACCCTTGTTAGATTCTTTTTTTTTCGTGCTTTCGTCAGCATACGGATGTACGTGTCAAAAATAGCAAGTGAGCCACACCGGATTAGGATTAGTCCTCTCTATGACGTCAGCCAGCCAGACACCCCGGCCCAACGCAACGAACTACACTACACCACCGTGCACGCTTCGTCCTGCACCTTGCCGCCGCCGCCGTCGACGTCGAGCCGGCCGCTCTCCTCGGCGTCGTAGCTGGCGTGCACGCTGTAGAGCACGTAGACGAGCAGCGCGGCGGCGGAGAAGATGGCGAAGCGGACGTAGGAGGGGCGGTCGAGCGACCCCAGCAGGAAGACGTTGAGGAAGACGGACGCGGCAGGCACCCACGGCATCCCGGGGACGCCCCACAGCTCGGGGACGCGCGCCTGCGGCACCAGCGCCTGGAGCGCGGCGACCGCGGTCACCGCCAGCGCCGCGCACGCCGCCAGGAGGCCCGCGCGCACGCCCTCGCGTCTCGGGCGGCGCCAGCTTCCACGACAGGGTGAAGGCGAGCGCGGCCAGCGAGAAGACAACGAGGAACGCGAGCGTCGGCCATCGGTGGGCGGCGGGCTCGGAGTCGGAGCCGATGTAGCGGCGGTACACGACGGCGTTGGCCACCATGTAGAAGACGAAGAGCGTGCCGATGCAGACGAGGTTGAGAAGGATGTCCAGCTCGGTGAACAGCGCCAGCGCCGCCGTGAAGACGCCTGCGTGCGACGCGAATGCGGTGCAAGCAAGTCAGCCGGCGTCGCCGGCGTCAGAATCGTCAAATTGAAGAGCTGGAACGGACGGAACCGCATACATACGCACAGAGGAAGGCGGAGGCGTTGACGGGGGTGGCGGTGTGGGGGTTGACCCGTGCGAGCCACGCCGGCATGACGCCGGAGCGGCCGATGACGCACAGGTAGCGCGCCTGCCCCAGCACGGCCACCATGAGCGAGGTGAGGATGCCGAGGCTGGCGCCGGCGCCGACGACGTTGGACACCCACGCGCATCGCTCCCACCCATTGAACGCCCCCGAGAACGGCGCCTCCGGGTCAATCTGCAGTTCATGATCAGCAAACGAAAAAAGAGAAACTTTCAGACAACCAGACCAGGTGGTGAAAGTGAAACTGAAGAACTGCTTGACTGAGAATTACTCCTACTTGCTGTCACTGTTATTCGTGGAATCGCAGGTAGTACTTGCTGTGGACTGTGGAAGACAACAACACGATTGAAAAAGGTAGTGAAAAATCTCAGTGCTTTTTCTTCTGTTGTGTTGTTAAATATTTACAGAAAGTGGATTCGATTCGAGGCCGTCGGTCCAGGAGAAATTGGGACGGCAGATTCATCCCAAATCACCCACCAACATCCCAGAAAAAAAGCCGAGGGAGACGACAGGGAACAAACAGAAGCCGGTGCCAAGAATCAGATGCAGCAGAATAGCAGATGCACCAACTCCTCTACTCAACTAGCCCAATTGACCATATATTCCCCTGAAATAGCAGATGAGCTCTAATTATAGGCTATTTTCCACAACAAACAAGAAGGACATGGATCGGAAGGCCTCCATCCAAGGTCCCTGTAAAGGCAGCATCAATCGTGTCGTGTGCAACTATAGCCACCCAATTGGCCTTTACAGAGCATATCCAAATGGTTGTTATGTTTATAATGGAATCTTGAACTAGGCAGAATTTTGGCATCTTCAAAGTTGCATAGACTGAGCCAGGAGCGAGCAGAACAAGACAGGCCATGCCAATGACACGCGGGCCAGGCGGACAGGCAAAAAAAAAAAGCGTCAGAGCAGAGGGAGAGCACCTACCGCGTCGTAGGGGAGGAGCATGGACATGGATGCGGCCATGAGGCAGTAGAGCACGGTGACGAGGACGACGGAGCCCGAGACGCCGACGGGGATGTCGCGCGCGGGCCGCTGCACCTCCTCGGCCATGGTGGACACGGCGTCGTAGCCGATGTAGCTCAGGTACACCATGGCGGCGCCGTGCGGGAACACCCCGCCGGGGCTGCGGGACGGGTCGGCCGGGCGCGTCAGGTTGCGCGCGTCGCCGTGCGCGAACCCCATGCCGATGATGAACAGGATGAACGCCACGTGCACCGCCGTCAGCACCATGTTCACCACAGAGCTCTCCTTGGTGCTGTCCCCCGCCATTGATGGCAGAAAAGCAGGAAAACAGGCAAACTTGTCAGAACAGGGTTATGTTTTGTATCAAAATTTACTGTTTTAGACAACACAATCTCTCTGTCATTCAGACGCCGCCTGTGTTAGAGTGCTAGACAAGGGCTTGTGTGGTTCTTGAACGATCTGAGGTGTAAAGAAAGGTACGAGAATTCAGACATCAGTCGAGTAGCTTTTGATTTGATCCTCATCTTTCGACAAAGTTCACCAGCATTTGCCACAATAAAAACATTCGATCACGTAACCAAAAAGGGAGTACAGTCCACTAAAAAAACAGAGACCGGCCGACAATATTCCTTGCCACGGGAACAAAATCTCGACCCTGCTTTGTCTGAACCTTGGGAATATTTCCGGAGAAGAACCATGAAGTACTGCAAGCAAAATGAGGAGGACAGGACACGAGTGTCGTGCACTTGCTTGCTTTCGAGATCGAGTGCACAGAAACCAGGTGTTCCTTTCCTTCTCATCGTGCCACTGCCCACTAACGCAGACAGCACAGGCAGCCGCCAATGGAGAGTGACACACGAAGAGGCAGGCAACAGGAGTGACACTTGGAAGCAATAACAAATATCCTTTTTTGCATCCACGATAAAATCCTTTTCATAAAACAGAACAGGGGGGAAAAAAAGGAAAGAGAAACCTGAGTGCTACGGTGACACACGAGCGAGCCTGACATCACGAGACGAGAGATTCGGAAGGCTGACTACCTACACGTACCTGTAGCAGATGCAGACGGAGATGAGGAGGATGACGCCGACGGCGACGAGGTCCACCTGGTTGAACCCGTCGGGCAGGCCGCGCACGGTGATCCGCCACTGGCTGGGCGCGTCGACGCCGACCGCCGTGCCGAGGTAGGCCGTGAAGCTGCGCGCCACGGCGGACGTACTCCATGATCAGGTTCGCGCCCGTCAGGAACGCCGCCAGCTCCCCTGCAGCAGCCGCTGTCAGTCAGTGCGAGGTCACCGGAATAAAAGTACGGACAGCTGACTGACGGAGGACGACCATGCGAATGCAGGGTGGTTTACTGACGGGGGAAATGGTGGCGTGCGAGCCTGCGAAAATGACCGTGACCTTTGTCCTTCAACACAGGCCTCGCTTGGGTCGGTCTCCGTGTCATGCGGATGTGGGCGAAAAGGGCAAAGCCGTATGGGTTTGGGCCCGTGATAAATTCTGTTGGACGTCGCCGTCGTCCAAGCCCTTTTTTTAAACCGTTCGTGGCAGGTATAAATAGCAACCAATTGACAAACCCGGCCTCCTCTCGTGCGGATTTTATTGGGTCGTGTTTCTCTGAACTTTTATTATGTTTGATTTGATTTGGAAGTGCATTATTACGATGGTTTCGTGTTGTTGAGAGAAAAAAAAAAAGAATTAACTGCCGACAAAGTGAAAGGCAAATATCTCTGCTCGGTGACAAAAGGGAAAACAAATCTGACTTTTTTTATAAGAAAAGTATATAAGGAGTCAAGGAATCCAAAATCCATGAAAGGAAATTTGACACTTGAATTCGGAGCTCACGTTTGTAGAGGCAGATAGAAATACCGTTTTTTTTTTGTGATAAAACACGGTCAAATAGCGATTTGCAGTTTGTATCCAAAACAAATTTGGCATGCGAAATACGAACAAACATGGGTCCAGCTTGAGCAGCGGGCATAAAGAGCAGCAATTGGATAAACCGGAAGGGGAAAGATGTATACTACTTACTACTAGAAAGTACACATGCAATAAGATATATACGCCATGAGTTTATTATATCAAGAAAAAGGCGTTTCACGAAAAAAAATGAAAAAGAAACAAAAAATGGCATCGACGTGTGTGGCATGTCATCACTCATCACAGCTCAGAAGCATTTCCTCCTCATCAAAAGAGAAACAGCTCAGAAGCAGCTAGCGGCACCGCAATGAGGCGAACCGCAGGAACGGGAAACGGAGCGGAAACCAAGCGACGGCCGGGGCGGCCACGACCACGACGACTCACCGAAGGTGACGCGGAGGTAGCTGAAGGAGCCGCCGGCGACGGGCATGTCTACGGCGAACTCGGTGTAGCAGAAGGCGGAGAGCAGCCGCAGAGCCCCGCCATGGCGTAGGAGACCACGACGCCGGGACCCGCGTAGAGCCTGTTGGCGCGGCCCGTGGTGACGAACACGCCGGCCCCCACCATGCCGCCGAGGCCCAGCCCGACGAGGTCCCACCACCGCAGCACGCGCGCCATGTCGGCGCCCGACCGCGCGCGCACCCGGCTCATCTCCTCCCGCGGCGCCGTCGCGGCGAACGCGCGGCACGACAGGCGGCGTGGGGTCTACGCTAGCGCGCGGCCGTACGCGCGCCAGCTCGCGAACGACGACAAGGTCGAGGAGGAGGTCCCCGTGCCGCCGATCGCGGTGATGGCCCCGGCCGGGTGATGGTCGACGGCGGCGGCATCGGAGGACGCCAGCGCCAAGCCCTTGTCCATGGCTGCCGCTGACGAGCACGCGCACGCGCTCCCACACACAGGGATTGCGTTGGGTTGGGGTGGTTGCTGGTGGAGTGGTGGTGGCGGCGGGACTGATCTGTGGGGGTTTGGAGAAGAAGATAGAGCGGGCGTGTGGCGAGCTGGCGAGGGCGAGGGGCAGGGGCTGCGGTATATAAAGAGGCCGGCCGGGCGGGTGGGCAGGCGGGCGAGCGGCGCGGGCACCGGGCACGGGTGGTAACTGCCACGAGCACACTGGGCAAACGTTTTTTCATCCATGATGAAAATTACCCCGTCGTATCTGTGTACTGTATATTTATCTGCATGTAGGGATTGTAGATAGGCTGTAGCGAAGCTGGTTGCAACCGGGTGTTGTACCTTACTAATTCAATATTATTTTTCACTAGATGCGCTAGAAATAAAAATAAATACTAAAAATTCTCATATTAATCAAAAAGATCAAACCGTCAAATCAAAGACTCCGGCCATCCATAACCACAAGATCTATTTTGTTTCTAGAAAATCACCCAATTGCACTATTATAGATTACATATAAAAATCATTTTTTAAAAGGAGAAGAATTTAGTTGTTTGTAGACCATCTGGATTGGTCCCATTACATGGTATTGAATTATTGAAATACGATATCTGCTCTACCGTGTTCTTAACAAAATATAAGTAAATGAAACAATTAAATATATATCATAATTATAGTTAATATAAAATATCAAATGAGTCTTATTGATCACATTCACTTGGTAATATATTAATAAAAAAATATATCTGGAGTACCCATCACGTTATGGTTAGTTAATCTATTAATAAAAATTCTGATAGCCAACAAACAAGATACATGTGTACTTTCGAGCTACTTTATTATATACAAATAAAGAGGAGGTAATTTTTGTCAGCTATGCCAAAACTGAAATGAAGTCTCTAAATTTAAATTGAAATTATGGACCTCTGCAATTTATGAACCATAATTCAAAATAAATAATTAAATTTGTATTTAAATTACCTACATTATCATTATGAAAGATAATGCAAAGAGATTGTATCCAAATTACCCACATATGTACATCACTAATAACAAAAATAATATAAGTAAAATTTTGATTATCTAAATTATCAACCTTTGCTATTATAAACAAAATAATATCTCTAAATCTCCATATAAATACTAATATAAGTTACTACAATAAATAAATCAATAACTAATATATCAATACTAGAAATCTAATTTTAAGTGTTCTATATTTTTGTAAAATAATAGTACTACACAATGATAAATTGTATCATATAATAAATTTAACATCTTGATTGTCGTTGTTCAAGTTGTTATTACCTTTTTTGCATTGTAATAGCAAAGAGTATAGCCTAGAATGTACATTGTAAAGACATTATGATGACATGTTGAGAAATACATTAATCTCCTGTCAACCGATCTTAAAACCCAACATATTCATCATAAGGACATGCAATTAGTAAATGCTACTCAGCATGTCACAAAAAATCTAAAACATTCTGCCAATGGCCAAAAAATGTGCCCAACCTATATCTCTATAACTATTCTAACTTACCAATTTGGTCAAAAGAATCTAAAAACAAATCTAATCTACGGTGGTGGAATCCAATCCTACAAATAAATACACACTACAAGCAAACACCAGCAAGGCTTGAATGGCACATTGATGCACAATGCAATCACATGCGACCTTCAGGAGTATAAATTATTAGAACAATAATGGCAAGACAAATAAAGTATAAATTAGAACAATAATGGCAAGACAAATAAGGTAATCTTCCAATGCTATTGATTTCTTCCACACGTGACTTTTTTGTTAAATACAATATCTTGATTAATATATCAATCCAATTATTGTCACATCTATTAATCATATATATAGCAAAAGCTACATTAAAGAACATCATGCCTACCTATACAGTCATCTACACTAATGACATGAATTTGAAAGAAGCGGCACAACATCCATCTCCTTTTTGAGGGCACAATAAATACATATCAAATAATTTCGAAGAGAACAACAATGTGTTAAGGAGTTCAGACAAATGACTTAAGTATGTCGGGGACTGCCATTCATGAAGCAAAAAAATCAGTTCATGAAAACAATTGAAGATAAATATACAATCATGTCATTAAGAATTTTATTGCAGGTGTACTAAACTTCTAATATTGTTATCAACATATATAGTTCAATTTAAGAAAGAGGGAAGTCCAACACGCCACATACTTCACAACGTCAGCCATACTCAGGCACAAAACAAATGAAGGAAAAGAAAACACCTAACCGTGGAATCAAACTAATGTGGCATCATTAGCTGTGCCATAATGATCTATCTCAATTATGCCAAAGACAATTCTATACAAGTGTGTAAGTTTGGACTCAAATCAAAGTTAATTGTATAAAATAACTTTTATTAGTTAATACATATTAAACAAGAATTTCAATTGTTGAAGTATCTCAGAATTAGCCCGTGCGGGAGCACGGGTTGACGGACTAGTATAAATAGTTACATCCCTCTCTCCTCACACGGCAGGCCGCAGTGTGCGTCAACAAAAAAAAAGTAGTGTTAAAAAGTGTGGCGTACGGATTCCTTTATTTTTACATGAAGAAGTTGTGCTTGTGCATGAACTGCATTGCATACAACATCTTGGGTACTTGCGCGCTAGTACTCCGTAGTTCTTTAATTTTCTTTTTCTTTATTACGTACAAAAAACGATTCCTATTATTGGTTTGGCATGCATCGACGGTATAAGCGTGACATATGTAAATATAAGCGTCATCGCCGGATAATTGTGGCAATAAAACTGAAACTTGAATGAGTGCCTTGGCCAATATACTCGCCGGCTGCATGGTGCTAATAAAAATGAAATCTTCAAGCATGCAGCAGGCAAGCAAATACCGAAGGTTTTCCACTGATTTAACGTCTGATTGGGAGGGGGTGGCCGGAAATCGATCAGATAACTGATGGTTTTGTGCTTGTGCACACACCCGTGACGGCGCGCAAGTTGAAGCTTTGCTGCTTTTGTCGTTTTGGACAGAAAAAGAAGCCGCCCGCCAGCCGCCAAGTTGGAGATTCACGCACGTACAGTATATACGTATAGGGGTGATTGGTTGCCCCGTGGGCCGGTATAACACTCTGGTTTTTGTTTTATAAAAAGAGGAGCCAAATTTGAATTTGAACCAAACAGATGTTTGACATTCGTAGGCAAATTATAAACTTTTACAAAAATTCTAAAATCAATTCGTAGTAGCAACCATGTATTGTTGCATTCATGCTGCTGCATTGTTTTGGCTTGTTTGGTTTGCTTGTGGTTGACTCCGTCAGCTTGTTAAGTGCCCTAACCTAACTTAACCTAGCCTAGCCAAACCCTAGAGCACCCTAGCTAACCTAGGCTAGCCCCTACCTAGCCCTGGCCTACCCTAGCCCCTCCTGGCAACCCCTGGCCAGCCACAACCAGCTAGGGCCAGCTCTGGCTGGCCATGGCCAGCCCTGGCCAGCCGGCCAGCCAGCAGCAGCCGGCCACCACCAGCAGCCAGCCAGGCCAGCAGGCCTGCAGCCAGCAGCAGCACCGCAGCCAAGCTCCGCCAGCCCCCGCGCCCCTCCAGCGCGCGCGCGTGGCAGGGCATGGCCCCTGACCTCACAGACCGCTGCCGCTCCCGGGCTTGACCCTGCGCGCCCAGCGTCACCCGCTCGCGCCATGACGCCAGCGTCGCACAACGCACGCCACCGCCCTCACCATCGACCGGTGGGACCCGCGTCGCGTGGGGGCCCACAGAATAGTGTCGTCTCCTTCGGGGAGACGGACACCGAGTCCGGTTCCGCCTAGTGCCGTGCGCTCGCGCTCGCGACCCGAGGATCGCCGTTCCGCGCTATAAAGCGCCTCCCGCACCCCTCTGCGCCTTTTTCCGCACCCGCCGCCGCCTCGTTTCGCGTGAACGTGAAACCCTAGCCCTAACGAGCCGCCGACGTCGCCGTCGTCGATCTCCGCCCTCGTCGCCGTGCCGCTGTGGTGAGGCCCCCTCTGAGCTCCGCGCCGTCGCGGCGATGCCGCCGGTGCCCTTTTACGCCCTCCACCGCCTCTCATCGCAGGCTGCTGCATCCGCCGTCGCGCGCCGCCCGCGTGCTCGCCGGCTGCTTCGCGTCGCGCTCCGCCGCTGCTGCATCAGATCGCGCCGTTTTTATGCTAGCGCAGCGCGCCCGTGCTCGCCAGACGCGTCAGACGTACCCGCAGAGCAGCCGCATGCTGCTCTCGGCTGGCGGCGGCAATGGCGTGCCGCCGCGCCCGCCGCGGGTCCATCGTGGACCGATGGGCCTTGATCCACGACCATGGTCCATGGCCGGTCCACCGGCCCCGCCCCGTCCCGCGCTACCGCGTGGCAGCCCACGCCGCCGCTGCCGGTCAACACCGGTAGTTTTGCAGAAAAGCCCCCGGGTTTTGTCAAAATAAACCCGCAGTCTAGCCTAGTTCAAAAATAATTAGAAATAGGTCCTGTTTTTAGCAGTTTAGCCCTTGAACCCATCGGTTTTTGTGTTTTAGGTCCAAAGGGCTTTTTAAATCAGTTTTTAATTAATAAAAATGCGAAAAAATAGTTCAATCTAATTAAAAAATGCCACTGATCTTCTTTAGGCCATAACTTTCTCGTTTTAACTTCGATTTAGGTGGTTCTTGTCGCTACGAGTTCGCCTTTCCGAGTAGAACAGTTCTGTTAACTTGCTTTCTGCTGATACTTGTTTTGGTGTACTGCTCTAATTATAATTTATTTGCTTGCA